GAAACCCGAGTCATTCCGGTACGTAGAACCGGCTGTCGTGGGAATGGTAGAACCGGCTGTCGTGGGTTGTCCCTCGGAGAGNGTTCGCGGCTGATGATACTTCTGCTGGTTGTCCCTCGGAGAGATCGGTGCTGATAGGGTTCTGTAACGGTCTCCCGTTGGTTATAGGCTGGATGATGGTGGGCCCATGCAGTGGGCTTCTGTTCTTTTTCTTTTCCTTTTTTTTCACTGAACCACACCTGGGGTTTTTTCTCTTTTCCCCCTTTTTTTATCACGAGGCACTACTTTATTTTTTTTATTTTAAATCGTTTGTGTGAAATTTTTCTGAGTTTTCACTTTTAATTAGCAACTTTAATGTCCATTGCACAATTCACTTTCTCACCCGTTCCATGCGTTCAGGAACCTAATACCAAGCATTTTTAATAGAAAACGCTCATCTATTGACAAAAGCAAATTTTGACGGATCAGAATACAAATTGGACATTTCTCATCAGAACTTCGCCCAGCTCATGGGTCTAGGTAAAATTTTACAGCTTCTGATTGTGTATACACCTAATATTGTGGGCTGTATTAAAGAGTCAAAATCAAAATGCAAGCGATTTATAAAAAGATGTAAATTTTGACAATTCCAGCAACACGCAAAATAGAGCTTTCGTACGAGCGTGTTTGGTTTGTTTCACAGGCCGTATGTCAAAATATGGATAAGGTTGCCGCCCGAAAGTTTACGTGCAAAGGAAAACGTAGCTGTCAAACTACCAAGACACCGCAGTAGATGCCAGAATACAACCCTGATATATATTGCTCTCTATATTTTCACATTTGTGTCAAGATATAACTCAATCCTGTGAGGACGCAGCTACAGGTAGCTGTCACAAACTATCACCAGCCTCTGCGGGGAAGCGTTGGTTGGTTTGGGTTGACTTTTCCTAAAGCGACATCCATCTTCTTTCGTTTAGGGGGGTTTGAGGGCCACGCCCCTGCCCTTCGTCCCCCACCCCTAAATCGTTGTACAAATAGCTAAAGATTTCCCAATTAGTGCAGTTTATAAACAAACAATTGTGAAGCAGTGGGGAAATTTTAACAATGAATAACTTAAAAACTATTAGCATTTGTGCGCAGAATGTTGATGTTATCGGTCAATGAGTACCTCAACACCCCCTGCGAATTTCATTAAAAAATTCGTAATTCTTTGGGGGATACAGGAAATGGTCTATTATAGGAAATCTCAACCAATGTTTCCGTGTGCTGTATACTGGAGACACCCCCTAAATTCAAAGTTGTGTTTGTTTAACTGCAAAGGGCAGTAAGAGAAACGTACCTGATTAATCCGGAGAAAATTTCCTTGCTTTATACGTGTTAAACGCATTAACAAATCGTAATGCTGCTCCACTCTCCTTAAACACGTTTCGCAAATGGTTTTAGGTAAAGGATCCGTAGGTGAAATCTGTAAGAATTATAGCATGCATCTGTTTCTGTTTGAAGTGTTGTGCGAAACACATACAGTGATTGGCAAATACCCGTTGATTTTCTCCACTAAACACAACTTCCTGCCCTGATCACCATATATATGTATTACAATTCTATGCATTTCGGAACAGAGACGACAAAGAAATCCTGAAATGCAAGCCCTTTCCATGCTACCCATATTCACTAATTAGCAAAAGCGCAGACCGAATTACTTCTCGGCATTAACAAAATAGGTATGGGTAAGTTCGATATTCGAAGCTTCGATATTAATCGAATCTTAGCTCCAAAATAGCGATTTTTTGAAATCGAACTATGTGTTGCTAAAATTCGGATAAAATCGAATTTGGGTTGACTTCGCGAGAGTGCGCTACGCTTTGAACAAAATGACTTTATCGGGGGTGTAGAGGGGGTCTTCGTAATTGTCCATACTTGTACTTTCACACTGGTTGGGTTCTCGAAAGAGAAGTAAACAAATTTATAAACGTGTTCCTCAACGTTAAATAATGAAATAAATAGAATATGAAATAGATAAACGTTCAGAGAGCTCAATTTAGTTGGAATGTGTGTTTTCTGCACACTTGTATTTCGTTAAAACGGTTTGTTATCGTACATTTTGTTCGGAGAAATTTACAACTTTAACAACAAATTACTCATAAACTATGAGTTTCCTCGCCGTCTGGTTTTCAGTTTCCCTTTCCCATCCTGTGTGGCACTCTATTTTTCTTAGGGATTCGAGGAAAAAATACATGGTTTTCGATCTGATGCATAAAAACATAAAATCTGTGCCAAGAAGGAACTGTTATTCCAAGCTCAATTTAAATTTTTTTTTATTAAAAAAAATAGTTTCTTTGTTAATTTTTTATTTTAAATTTTTAGAGGCTTTTACGTTAGTAGCATGAAGCTTTTGCCTGAAAAGACCCCTAGTAAAATTTTCTGGAGAATAATTTTTTAGATTAAATAAATCCATAAACGATCTGTCAAATTTGCTTTTTGTGAGATTTCTTGAAGTAAGGGTCAAATATGACCGTTTTAGCGGGAGATAATGGGTTAAAATGTTCTACGAAAATATTTCCCAAGAAATTTTTTATATATATGTCTTAACCTTTAATTTCGCTCAGACATTTATTTTAACTATTTCTTCGACTTTTTTTAAAACTACTTAGGCCGAGATATGAAAAATTTAGTAGGCCATAAAATAAAAAGACGAGCTAACTTTTGCAAATCCATCGAGCGGTTTACTAGTGGATGGGTAGACGTTCAGAAAATGTTAACAAAGTACGGGCTGGTTTCGGCTGTCGCACAGTGTAATTTTAGATTAACTTTTTAAACAGGTGGCCACTCCCTTCAAGCACCTCAAAAATATTTTAATTGTTGCATAGTATTTTAAGTATAACACTTTAAATAAATTCGACTTTTAAAACAGGTGGCAACCCTCCCAAATGTAATTAAAAAAAAGTTTATTCAAAACCATTTCGATTGATACCCATATTGGAGTAATTTATTTAACTTATTAAATAATTTGATATTGATTTTCTTACATATGGCACAAAACTAAAACCATGTTACACATCTATATTTCATTTGACACCTACCCCCTTCTTGAAAATCGAACGAACGATACAGATTTTATGACTTGTTGTTAAATATTTAACGCAAACATCTGCGGAAGCGATTATTTGAATTTGATTTTCTAACCTATGGCAACCCTTTTCATAGAACTAAAACTATGTTGCAGACCCAAAGGACTCCTTATTTTTTTTAATACAGATTTTATGACTTTGTGTTAAATATTTAACGCAAACATCTCCGAACTCGATTAAGACATTTTGCGAAATTCGAATTAAATCGAATTTGCACCACCGAATTTCGAATCGAAAAATCGAATGGTTGGGCAATGTTCGAAATTCGGAAAAAATCGAATTTTAACCCCCACTACCCATCTCTATAAGAAAAATGCTAGGACTAGAAAACTATCGATACATCGTAATGACTATCGAAGGTTTTCGTCTAACGATAGTTCTATCGATGGTCGAGCAACTATCGACTATCAACACGAACCACCATTTCATTTTTTGGAACAATTGCATTATAGCGGCAGTTGAGGTGGAAAAGGTGGGCGTGGTCCGGGCCCTTTTAACCATGAACGAACGACACAAGATCACGTAAAAACAAGAGTGAAAAAAGTAGGTTTTTTCATGGTGAATGCTGTCAGTAGCGACGTGTTTGTTGTAATTTTGACAAGATCGGCATGCTTATTTTCAGTGCTGCCGATCTTAATTTTTATACTACTATTCGTTGGGAAATAGTTTCTAAAATACCCATTTTAGTATTTCGTTTTATAGCGATTTTTAAAGAACTTGGTGTTTTCAGAACGATATTAATATTTAAAATTGCTTTATTTGTATAATTTTTGTCCTCAAATTATAAAATATAAAAGATATCGTGGTTGTCAATGGAATAATCAATAAAATTATAGTTTAAAAAACTAAAACCTCGCTATTATAAGGAGCAATCCTGTATTCCTCGGACTCGGACTAGTAAAACTGTCAAAAAATTAAAATTCACTCAGGGCGAGAGAGTAACATTGAAAAGTACGGGATCGTTTTCTAGTTAAAAACGGTAACTTCTGTCAACTTCAACATAACCTCCAAATATTGGTTGTAATATTTTGCTTATTTTGTATGTAAACACACTCAGCTCACACATGTAAATAACCAAAAACACTTTCAAATTCATTAGAATCCACTTAAACAAGTAATTAAATACTTTTCAACATGAATTAGCAGAGTGCACTTTTCTTTTGTTTACAATTTGGTTGCCAAGCACACTACAGCTGATCGTTTGACACATTTACCAGAATTTACCAGCAAAAAATTCTCGGACTAAAACTGGTAACTTCTGACAGAGCGAAAACCGTATTTACTCTCTTTTTTGTCCTCTCAATAGTCAGAGAACCGAGTCCGGGATCGCTTTCCAGTAAAATCTGACTGATTCTGAATTTTTCTGACTAGTCCGGACTCGTACGGGGTAGCAACTATAATTTCCATTCGTACTGTCATCAGGTATGTAACTTGGGAATATAAATCACTGCATCTTTTACAGTAGCTACACACGACGAGCATATCCGCGCATATGCGCGGCTTGCGGGTCATGCTCGTCGTTTGTAGAAGTACTAGGCAGAGACGGTGCATGCGGAGGCAGGCGTGTGCTTGTGTCGGATCAAAACAAACTCTAAAATAAAAATGGAAGTCAGAACGACAAGTGTAGAGAATGAAGCGGGAAACGGGGAAAGGAGCTTTTGTACATTTGCTTGCTTGCCGAAAATATGATATTTGCGTGAAATCGATTTGCTGATTGCAAATTGATTTTTGCAAACATGTATGCATTTTTCTATTTCAGCTAAGTTGATAAGATTTTCTAAGGTAGTTTTTTTTGACTTTTTTCCCGCAATTTTTTAAAGTCATGTAAAATGGACCTTTTTATAAAATCTATTTTATTATAATTTAATTAAACATAATCTGTACGTATATATGTGTATGTGCATAAGTAAATATATACATATTTACTTATGCACATACACATATGTTCTACGTACATACATATATCTATGTATTGTACCAATTCATATTTTTGCATTAATGTATGCATGCGCAATCGGCTCATTTTTTTATTTCTATTTGCCGACGGCATTTCGCAAGGGCAACAATTTTCTGTTGCTAAAAAATGTATGTACAAATAATATACTTACTTATGTACTATACATACAATTACATATGTGCAAACAAGTATATGCATAAGTATATATGTATGTATATATCTTTCAGTGAATTTGCAAATTGAAGTTGACAAATTGAAGTTATTTTAAGTACCTAATATTTTTATTTTATTTTTGCATGTAAGTTCTTAAACTATGCACATACAGAAAAATTCTTAAACAAGTTTAAAAATCTGAAAGTAAATAAAAATATAACAAAAATAAATCCTGAAATGAAACAAATTAAAATTGTTTTTCTACAACTTTTGGTTGGACACGAATGACGAATATGCCTTCTCATATGAAGACAAACGTACAAATGCATTGATTGCACTGCCCGCGTTAACTTCAAAGTTGTTTTTTCGAAAAGTTATTTAGATTGAGAAAAATGTGCATTATCATTTATCACTGCTATACTCGTATTATATGTAAATAATGGGGCATATTCATAGTTAAAATAAAGTCGACACTAAAATTAGTTGCAGCTTTTTCACATCATTTTAATTTTCTTCTTATTTCGGACTGACAAATTGATAACGTTTTTACATGCATACATATATAGGTATGTGTACATATGTACAACTCACGGCAGCATACATACATATGCACATAATTACACGCGTATTCAAATACAACAATAACTATTTCATTCGTAAACGCATTCGCATATTTCTCAAGGTCAAGGTCATTCATTCAAAATCCTACAGCAGTACATCTCCTCGCAAATTCATCACCTTCAAGCGCAACTTTGTCAATCTGACACAAAAATTCTAAAATGTAAAATTGAAGAAATCTCGGCCAACCAAGTAAAAAGTGGCACATATTGCTCTATATCCAATAAAATAAGTTATCTCGAATTTTGATAATTTTTGGAAAACACTCTATTTCTCTGTTCCACACCAATATTTCAATTACTAACTAATATTTTAAGTGGTAATTTTAATAAACAATTAATAAAAGTAAACGTTTTCTGCAGGAAAAAACAATATTTTTTTTAAATAAAATCAAAACTTATAAAATCACAAGCACATGTGGTTTTATCGGAAGTTCACAAATGTAACGAGGCAACTTAGCTCGTTTTCACATTTTTCGGTCCGAAATTATAAAATTTTTGTCCATGACGCGCCACGATTTTTGTACAGGTGGGTCTTAGTGCCTTGAACACCATTTGTATAAATGCATAAAAATTATTATTATTTTTTTTTTTATTTAACAATTTCTATACTACAAAGCGTTTATAAATATATATTTATATAAATCCACAGATTATTTTAAATTTTTTTCATCCGTAACCAAAACTTCAGTACCATAAAAAAATTCAAACACATTATAGTACAACCATGTAAAAATGTCAATTCAAGTTTTCGTTTAACCCATTTTAGCGGACATGGTTGTTTTAGTTCCGGATGTTAATAATACACTATCTTACAACGTTTTTTATGTTTAATCTTCATGCAAGTTACATGTATCGTCGAGAACATGGTTACATGCAGAATTTTAAATTAATTATTATTATTTTTCATACAAAATGTACAAGTATTGCTTTATTAAATGCAAACTTATGCGAAAATCTAAA